CGTTCGGTCGGCCACCATGCCTGGGGTGCGCATCCTCGCACTCCTCGATGGTCAAGCCGGGGCCCGCGCCGCCTGCTCTCGCCGCCATTCGATGGGCGTCATCATCGTGCCGGGCGTGGCATCGATTGTTGATGACGCTGCGAGCGTCATGGTTCGGCCCGAGCCATTCACACATAGGTGGTCGGTGTGGAGCGAGTGCTGGGTCGGGCTGCGGTGCAGCCACGACTTCCTGCTCCACGTCCGGTAACTGCTGCAGTGAGTGGACAAAGCGATTCGACTGGTGCGGCCCTAGTCTCCCGGTTGGGCGAGAGGCCGCGAGCTGGTGTCACGACGTGGAGTTCTCCGCCTATTGAACGGCGGTGGTCTCCACTAGCACCCGGAGGTTCCGATGGATTGGCTGCTCCTGGGGTCGGCAGGCTTGGGGAGGCCGCGCAGAAGCATCGCCACAGCAGCGATGTTCTGGCCAGCCCGAGCAAAGTGAGGGGGGTCATCCCCTCTGTCCAGTATGTTACGCTGGACATGGTAGGCACGATCTCGAGTGCCGCTCACCGGGTTACGCGCATGTGGAGTAGCGTGAGGCGCAGGGTGCGTTGGCGTAGGCGGTGGCTGGCTCTGCCGCCTTTGTCGTAACTCCTTGTCGTGCTCCTGCACATGCGCTAAGGCCTGTGCATGGGGCTCCGTGGGGGTGTGAGTCTACAGAGACTCCACCACCTCCAGTGGCTATCCTAGAGCATCCGCCAAAGCGCACTCCTGGGACAGAGGGTGGCCAGATGCCATGACATCGCTAATGCTAGAGCCATCGCTTTTGATCTTGTCATAGGCGAGGTCGTGTAAGGAGGCGGGAGCATAGCCCGCCATCCCCACAAACTCAGATGTGAGAGGGGGCGGCATCAGCATCCTTTGGAGTCCCTATGCACATGCGTCCATGGTGGATGCGAAGCCATAAGGGAACCAGTTGCACGGTGGTCGTGGTGGGGACAGCAGGGTCCCTCCGAAGAGTCGGCAGAAGGTGTTAAATAGTGAGCAAAGAATAATATGTACATCACTCACCATGGGGTTTGAGCCCAGCATGGGCTCGAGGCATAGCGCGGGTGTCTCGACGTTGAGGTCGTCGAGTGGCCCAGGGCCGGTGGAGGGCGCTCCTCCTCTAGTGGGCACCGGGGTAAGCGCCTCCTCGCGGAGGCGGAGTATGCCAAGCTGGTTGGCGACGAAGTCCAGACTCCAGAAGAGGAAGGTCTAGAGTAGCACAAAGACAGGAGGAACCCACATCCCAGCAAGTGGGAGCGTGGGAAACTCCAGCGAGCCAAAGCAAATCGTATCGCTCGTGCCCGCCATGCCAAAGATTGTGGAAAGGTGGGCCATCCGATGACCAAAAGCATGAACGCACGGCGTCTTCCCCACGGATGGCGCCAACTGTCGGTGCGAAAAGTGACCAACAAGTAAATATTTGTAGTTTTGCCGTGCGTTGTGATCGGATGTGGCCTAGCACTCAGTGACATAGGATTTATATTGGTTCAGGCAACAGGCCCTACGTCCAGTTGCGGTGACTTTATTCCAGAGCCTAGGTGCTCATAGTTTGTTGTGGGGTTGCAAATGAGTAAGGAATGAGAAGGGGGTCTTAGAGGCCCGGTCGGAGGAGCGTATCCTCTATGTGTCTCTAGAGCTATTGAGCTATTGTGTTCTCGAGTCGTTGAGAGAGTCTTTGAGAGAGAGAGTCAGTCATTTTACAGTAGAGAGTGCATCCTGTTTTATAGTTGAAAGGGATGGCCTTACAAGCCAAAGAGAAAGAGAGAGAGTGTATACGTGTGCTGCCTAGTCTTGTTGCTCACGCCTTCGGGTACGGGATGGCTGCCAGCGCCCACAATACTATTTATGCCCAGACGCATCTGGCAGGCTCTACCGTGTTCGCCTGGTACGGCAGACGATGATGCCCACAACACTATTTATTCTCGGACGCGTCTGGCAGGCTCTACCGTGTTCACCTGTCATGCCCTGATGGCACTGTCCTGCAGGTGCGTAGGGCATGGCGGGGTACAGTCCTCGGTATTATGGTTGACTTGAGCGCCTTATCTTATCTGCTCCGCCTGCTCCCTGGGCCCACACCGAGCAGGCATTCCCGATCGGTTGCTCCTAGTTGGCCTCGACCGTGTCGGTAGGGAAAGAGCAGCGAGCATAGGTCCACTGTATCCTTGGTCGAAGAAAAGGAGTCAGAGTCGGACTGCGGTTCCACCATGGCCAGGCCTTCCGGTCGGGGCTCACCCAGAGGTTGGACGAGGCGGAGATCGAACCCAAGGGGTCAGGCGAGGCGGAGCACGAACCCAAGGGGTCGAGCGAGACGGAGCAAGTCACTGCGCAGTGGGTGATGGAGGCTTGTCGTTCGACCGTGGCTGCAGATCTGCACCGGGAAGACGTCGTCCAGCCTGCGGAGGCAGCGGAGTACAGATCGTGGTCTTGACCTGTTATTGTGTGTCCGGGCCAGCCTAGGCGTGTGTTGTGGTTGCGCCGCCTGCTGGGCCGAGTTTTGTAGGGAAGCGGGTCCATTGGGGACCCCGGGTTTATGAACCCGACACATATGTTACAAGCGTCTGTTCGAAATGTTTCATATGTTTTCTCAAATGTATGTTGCAAATGTATTTATTTGGATGTTGCATATGTTTCACATATATCTTGCAAGTGTTTTATCCGGGATGTTGGATGTGTTTTGTAATGGCCTTTTCAAGTGTTTTTATGTGTTTTTTGCAAGTGTTTCGAACGCATGTTTCAAGTGTTTCATCTGTCTTCAGATGCATGTTGCAAATGTTTGATCTCGATGTTTCGAAAGTAGATCGGGTGTTGCTGTAGGGGATCCACCTGCCCACCTGCTACAGCTGCTGGGGCACCGCCAACCGGGCACAGATGTCTGAGCATGGGAAGCGATGGTGGCGCGAGCGGTCCCCGCATGGGGTCGGGTGGCGTGGTCAACGTTTGGGTGGCACCGACCAAAATGTCGTGCAGGCGTGGACATCCGGACGCACGCATCCATCCAGGTGCTTGCACTGCCATTCAAATAAAGTGCAATTTCATCCTCAACGGAATCTTTCCATTTAACTAGAGTACAGGTGTGTTGTTAATTTCAAATACTAATTATGTGTGACACTTTTTTTTTTTTCGATGCAATGTACAGACATATTTTCTATTAATTATTACTTATTAAAAAAATAGATAACATGTCATGCAGTGCCCCACCACCTAATCGGTCGTGCCCTTTGGCCGGATGCCCCCAGGGCCACATAGCTATATGGCACCTCCCTGCTCGCTGTCGTGACTTCCCGCCGCCTCACTTTTACCCCCCTTTCTTCACTCTCCTACCTTGTATGTTCAAATTCGGCCTTTGTGAAAATGAAATCTAGTTGCCCCCCCCACCCCTAAATGAAATCAAGGGCGGAGACAAGGGGGAGTGGGAAAAAATTCATTGAGGACTATCCCTACCACGACGTGGTGAGAACTGTGCAATTGAAAGTCTGAAATATGGGCCACAGTATCAATCATTTTTAACGTACGCATGATAAAATAGTTACCCCATGATCCACACTTCAGCCATACATCCGCACGGTGTCGTGGTAGGGATGGTTCTCACCGAATTTTTTTCCGAGGAGCGGACAGGGACTTGGTCCCCAAACTCTGCAGTCTTCATAAGTACTACTCAATAGTTATCACTAATCACTAGAGATTATAAGTAAACAAGCCTTCTCAACTAAACCTAGATTGTTTTCTCGGATACATTTCTTAATAGTCTAATATTAAGTGTCAAAATAAAGTTAATATGATGTGAATCATTGATCCGTGAACAATATCCCTTTAATCTTCAATTTAAACACTTAGTATTTTTCTAAGATGAAAAGACTAAAGATGATTTATATAGTTTTTTTAGCCAACATAAAAGTCGATATTTTTTAAGTGGTGGTACCGTATAGTTTTTTTTGAGAATAACACCGTACAACGTAGACACCTACAACACGCACGCACAATCACCCATATGATCACACGTATACAAACACTACCTCTATGAACACCTCCGAAGGACTAAGCCGACCAATCTTGAGATTCACGAAGTCACCACAGACATCTCGCTATCGACGGAGACGTCACGTCGACACTCGATCGTGACTTTGCCCCTCAACGAAATACAGAAGTCAGCCTCTGGATAGATGGGATTTAGATTATATTTTGTGGCCGAACGTTATTATTGGGTGAGTCGCTTTCTCATTGGACGAGATCTAATGTCATCCAGCCGGTAAATGACTTTAGTTAGTCTCGCTCACCGATGAAAAGTATATTCCAATTTCGTACCATGGTAGAGCGATAGTGTACGATTTTTTTTTTCACTTCTCCTATATTTTATGTGCCTGAATTTTAAGATGATTTTAGACAACACTCTTATACTACCAATTAGTACAAATAATTGTTACTTTTGTGATTTGTTATTTGTCTTTATGTCATAACATATTAAATTTTTGTCCTTGTCTAACTATAAAAATAATTGTAAATTGTTAAATTTGTCTTTGTGTCAACACATATCAGACTTTGTTAGGTTTGTGGTTTTGTTTAATGGGTTTTTTATTCTCAGACCAAAAAATTGCAGATTATGTTTATAGAAATTGCAACGAACTAAAACTACAATTTTTGTATAAAATATATGCAATAACCGTCGTCTGAAAGAAAACTAAATTTTAGGCACCTGAAATTTAGCAAATCCCTTTTTTTGAATATATATGTCAAATCGTATATTTTTGTAATTTGTATTAAAAATAGATTGAAAAATAAAAAAAAATTCCGGCCTATCAACGTTAAAACTTTTCTACGCCCGTCAGACTACGTACACTGAAACAGAGGTCTCCGGCGTGCACAAAAAAATTAAGCGCGGGAGGGGAAGTTTCACCGAGACATGATGATATATATAGCAAAATTAAGTGTATTATCCATTATATATATATATATATATATATATATATATAATATTGTCACCATACATCTTGTAAACCTAACAGACTGCCTGCGTAGATACCAACTGCCCCAAGAGGAAGAGGTCCTGACTCCACCCATGCCCAAGCGTCGGTCCTGGGGTCATATACGGCCAACTTTCCTCCGACTCGTTCTCGTACTACCAACCTCCCATCATCTAGCACAAACAATGGTTTTAGACGGCGCAGATATGCCGGCACGATGGAGTTAACCAGAATGCTATATTCTTTCACCCATACGCCTCTCTCAAAGTCAGTCAGAATCCAGAGGTGAGTCATACCGTAGAAGTAGTTCATCAGAACTAGACAGCCTTTCAGCTCAGCCAAAGCAAATTGGCACCAGGGATGGTTGAGGTCGTCGAGCTTGTCGTCCGAGTCATCACCGTCGTAGTCGTAGCCCATGCTTATTATAGGCCCCTGGAGACGTTTCCTCCATTCCTCCCTCTCAAGATCGAACGAAGCTACAGAATCTGTGGGAGGAACAACAATGCCAGCGCCTGGCAGCGCCGCCACCATGCCATTGTACACGACATTATTCCTCAAGAAGTAGACCACCCCGTCGACGACGGTGCTGCTGTCCGGACAGACGAACATGTCAGGACTCGGCATGTCTCTCCACCGTGCACGGCCACGGCGGCGACCGCCGCCGAGGGTAAGCACCTCGAAGAGATGTGGACGGTCGTCATCCTTGAGGCGGTGGAAAATCCGCAGCACCTTGTGTTCTCCGGTGCGCGGCGACCCTGCCGAAGGCAAACGAGGTGGCCGCCTCACGCAGGCGGCGCCGGCTGCCCTGACCCCGATGCGACGGCGCCGGGAGCACGGGTAGCGGCCTGGAGCGAGGGGCGACTGAGCTCCGGCCGCCGCCGGATCGAGCACGCGGCAGGTGTTGTCGGACTTATTGGCCACGATGACGAGGCCGAGGCGTGGGCACAGCACCTGCCCGCGGTCCATGGCGCTGGCTACTCGTTTCACCGTTTTGCCTGACAGATCGATGAGGTCGATTAGCATCCGCTCTTCTTCTGAAGGACCGGAAAGGAAGAAGCTCGCCACCAAGAGCGGGTCCCGTTGGTGCCTGGCGGCGTGCGCACGGATGAAATGTGTGTCGGAGGTGAGGGAGCGCCATGCGTGGCAGACGACGCGGAGGCGGCACAGCTCCATGGCCGAGAGCAGCAGGAAGACGTCGAACAGCACGTCCGTTGGAAGCTCGGCGAAGGCCCGTCTGGCTCGGCGGGTCGTCGGAGCCATCGTCGTCGTTACATCTGATTAGTTCTGCGCAAAACATCCATGTTGCTAGTGGCTATATATTCCATATGCGTATGTTTGTGTTGGAGTCGGAGTCCATGATTCCATATGAGTAGTAGAGGGCTCAGACTAGTAGGGGTCTCCTCGCATACGGTCAGCCATCATCCAACGGCCCACTAACCCGGGAGGTGGGCTCACGGCCTCACGCGCTGTGCCTCTCTCGACTCTCGTTAAACAAGGCCCAAAAGAGCCCAAGCCGAGGAGCCCAGGCTTAATGCAAAAAAGGGGATAGATCTTTCTTTTTCCCATTAACTAGTAGCAATTCACATGTTTTATAATTACTAGCGAAATATACCCGAGACGCGTTGCAATGGGATAAAAAATATCAAGCGAAGCAATGAGGATCACTACCGAAAATAATAGCTTTGTTGTGTGCCACGATTGTAACACCTCACGGTGTTTTGACCTAGCACTAAAATTTGACATGTCATCATATGCATTGCAAAGCATTCATGGAGTAGAAAATTTTGAATGCATTCACTAAATAAGCTTTATTTCATAATGTTGTTATTTCATGTGATGTGTTTCAAAACCCTAAATAAAGATCATGACCACAAGGGTCAAATTTTATGTGATCATGTGAGGCCATGTGTCTTTTGACTCAAATAACCCTAATGGGCCATGTTACTGGTCAAAAATCAAAGTTAAAGTAAAAGAAAGACAAATCAAATTTGAATTCAAATTCAAATTATAAAAGTCCTTTTTGTCCCTTTTTACTAATTCAAAATCCATGTGGAATTTGGGGGTGAGGAAAAAAGCAAAGTTGAAGATTATTTTATGTGGATCAACTTTGGTATTCAAAGTTTTTCAAGTTTACATATAAAATTTGGAGTAATTTTGAAATGATTCAAATACTCAAATGCACCCCAAATTCAAATTTCAAAATGGAGGCAGAATTTGAAAATATTCATTGAAGCAAAGTTGTAGAGTTTGAAAAGTTGAGCAACTTTTATTTTTGGAGATTTTCAACTTCTTTATAAAATTTGGGAGTAATTTGCAAAATGAACTCAGTGGCAATTCTGTAATTTCTCGGAACAGTAGCCGACCACCGCCCCACCGCCGGCGTCCTTTCTCCGGTCTTCCAGGCGCGTCTGCGACTGCCCTCGGCTTCGCGCTGGCACGAGCAGCTCGCTGCGTGTCGAGTCCGCGCGCTCCTGGCCGAGCTATAAAGCCCAGACGTCGCCGTTCATTTTTCTTCCCTCTCTCTGTTTTTCCGACGCCGCCGTCTCGACTCCGGCGAGCTTCTCTCATCTCCTCAGCGCAAGCAAGCCCCGTAAAAGCTGTGTTCTAGTTCCGCCTGCTCCTGGCACATCCGACCGAGCTGTGGTTACCGCCTAAGTTCGCCGAGAGCTCGCTATCCACGTTCATCTTCCTCGCGGCCGGCGACCTCAACGGAAACGTCGATTCACCATGGCCAGCCTCATCCGGTGAGCCATTGCCCTCGATTGTTGGCTCTCTGGTTTTGTCGCGATGCTATAGTGCTCATTCCACTCTTGCCTACTCGTTTTGTCCACTGCAGTCGCCGGAACTCCATCGTCGACGAGGTCCGCTCCGCCGTGATCCCAGTCACCGTCGAAACGCGTCACCAGAGCTTCTCCGGTCCCGCTTGTTGCTTCAACACGATCGGGGTGAGCCGCTGATGCTTCCTGTACGCTCTGTTTCACTGTTACCGGCCTTGTTTCGCCGGCGTAACGCCACCGTGCCACCGCGTCCGCCATGGCCGGTGTCAGCCTTATTCCATGCCGTAATCAACCTCCAAAGTGCCACTAATTGATGCGCCTAGCTCTTGTGAACATGTTAGTGCTTTGGCCGTCGCTGTTGGGCTCATCGTCAGCGAGTTTGCGCCGGTCAGCGCCGTCGCAGCCACGGTCAATGCCCGAGGTTGGGGATGACAGGTGGGGGCCGACTGTCAGTGAGAGCAAGAGAGAGAATAGTGCTTTTTGTTATTTTCTGATTTTGAATAGTGCTGAATCTTTGGAAATTTGTAGGAAAATAATCATAGCTCCAAAAATTCTGAAAAATTTTGTGTAGCTTCTGTACATGCTCTAGTATGGTTTAAAAAATTTGAAACTTGAAATTTGAATAAATTTTTAATGTTCAAATATTCAGTCCATTAATTAATAAATGCAATTTCCATGATTTTTGTAGGCCACTGTATAGCTCCAAAAATTATGAAATTTATTTTGGTACACTAATTTGTTATGAGGAAGCTTACATAAAATTTTGAGGTCAATTGGAACAAGTTTATTTTTGGGCTTATTTCAAATTAATTAAAAATTGAATAAAAGCAACCCTAATTGTTAGGGTTAGGGTTTAATTTTTGTTTGGGTCATGTTGTGTGACCAGTAGGGTTTCAAGATCAGTTTGGTCAAGTCACATGTGTGGTTCTTGCTGGTAGAATTGCAAGTTGGTTTTGTTGGCTTGCAACTGTACCGTGAAGGAAAATCGTATTCGGGGTGTTGTTACATTTCATGTACTGTGAAAGCATCATGTTTACATTATCATCATGTTAAAGCATATGTTATCATTTCGTGTAGAACCCGAGAGTGAAACGATCCTAGTTGAGCAAGTCCTGGAAGAATCCCCGGTTGTCACGGGATTTGATAATTGTGGCACTGATCCGGAACCTGAGATCGTCAACAAAGGCAAGCCTCGGTTTATGCATTAAACCATTACCTTGTTTACTTTGAAAAGTTTATCACCTATGTTACCTATTGCATTAAGTTGATTAATTCAAATGTTACCTACTTGATGCATTGCCTACCTTGTTAATTGTTTACCATCCTTGAAGATGATTTCATTTACAAAGGCGTAGAATTGCTTAGTATGCTTTGTGGTAGGCTTTCAAAGTAAAAGTTTCGATACAATCAAAGATGACATTCTGGCCAAAGAAAGAAAGAAGATAGAATGAACTAGAGACTAGTCGGGTGACTTATCTTGAATGTTGGGTAATGTTGCCGACTATGTCGCTTAAAGGCCACTCATTGTGGATCTTCTGAACGAGACACTTTGTAGTACTGGTCACATACTTTGGTAAGCCTACTTCGGCTAATCTGATACTAAGATGAATGCCCATGCACTGGGAGTGGTGAGATGGCGGGAGTAGCGTGTACCCTCGTGGCTTGAATGTGGCCGGATTTGAGACGTGCTGTGCTCTAGGGTGGCGTGGAGACAACTTAGTACGGGAGGATCCGGTAGCGAGGTTGATATATGCAAGATTAAGTTCTACATATGTCGTGTGATAAGGAATCCCTAAATTTGGGACTTGAATCAATTGAATTGCCGGTGTTCATGGATATGGAGACTCGATTCATTCTGAAGCAATGTAGGAGTGGTGAATTACTAAAACTTGAGAAAAGGAATGGAATGAGAAGGATTGGAACATGGGATATGAACACTTAGTTGGAGATATTGAACTAAAGTACTTAGTGGTAAAACTTGAAACTAGGATCAAGAATAGTAAGCTTTTGGCAAAGAACTTTTGAATCTTTCTACATCCTTACCTTAACCCAACACCTGCATCCCTAAGACCTTCACCCTTTTTGGTCGGGTCAGTCTTGTTGAGTACTTTTGTACTCAGGGTTTGTTAACCCTTGTTGCAGGTGAGTCGTATGCACAGGCTTGTTTTGGTCCCTGCTGCATGTCAGTGTTTGAAGTCGATGATGATGAGGAATGATGAATGGTCTTTGGACAAGGCACTAGTTTGTGTGAAATAAATAATGTTAATGTAATATTATTCCGCTACTATGGTTGTATGACACTTATGGTTTTGTAAGTTTGAAACAACTGGTTTGTAATATCAAAACTTAAGTCTTCCGCTTTATAATCTCTGGTATGTATATTGAAAACTGCTGTATGTCTGCAATGACCTGTGATTGGGATCCTGTTTGGAAAAGATTCATGGATGATTCGGGTTTCGAGGACACCCGACAGACCTGTTAAGTTATCAGGAACTTGTGTACTCTATCTGAGGTCTGTTGAGACATCAATAGGTGCACGTGGGCTCGATTTCTTAGGAGGTTCTGCCACACACAGCCCAAAAAACACTCGGCAAAGGATTTGCCGAGTGTAACATTCGGCAAACAGCACACGACATCTACAGTGCTGGCAAACGTCCCTTTGCCGAGTGTTTTTTATCGGGTACTTGGCAAATACTTTGTCAAGATCTAAAACCGACGCTCGGCAAAAAAAAGTAACTTGACGGTGTGGAGACGGTCACGACGCGTTTGACGAGTGTCCGGGATTTGACACTCGACAAAAGCAGCCATGTTTGCCGAGTTTCAACTCCGGACACTCGGTAAACATGGCTGATTTGCCGAGTGTCAAATCCGGACACTCGGCAAAGACCGGCCTAGAATGTATAGATTTTGGCCACGTGTCCTCTTTCTTTGAGTGTTTTATCTTGGCTTTTCGGCAAAGTGACCATATATTTCCACTTTTATGGTTCGGTCACATATAACGTACCCCACTCAAATAAACATTATAGGCATCACACATAGTTCACAATAAGCATCATAGGCAATTCATATAGATATATCGACAACACATAAATGCAAATAAACTTCAGAATCACAAGTAGGTTCATTCACACCACAAATACAAATAAAATTCCTTTGAGTGCAATGGTGTCCTTGAGTAGTCACAAGTAATCCACAAATGCAAATGCAAATAAAATCACAAGTATACTCACTAAGGAGGCCATTGTGACCATTTGGGTCATGAGGCTCATTCGATTCGATGCATTGATTGATTCTCGCACAAAGGAGAAGAGATAAATCATTCTAGTTTCTTATTTATTTCTAGTTTGTAAACTATAAATCATTCTAGTTTCTAGTTTCTAATTTATTTCTAGTTTCTAGTTTCTAGTGTCAGGCATCTTTGTAAGATTGATTCCACATAAACTAGAAGCGGTGATTATAAGGTTGTGAAGTGACTCAAAGGTG